ATTGGAGTGGTCGAAGGAAACCCTTTGTCCAGGGGTGGACACACACACACTCACACATACACATGCTGGCAGTGCGTCACTGGAGCACCTGTAGCTTGTGTGTGTGTTGTCTTCTGATCAATGAATCTGGATTCTCAGCCTGGTGGTGAGCATTTATTCAGCATCACGGATATCCTTTTTGACGTGCGCTATCAGGATGGTTGTTGACATTTGCTGCTACATCAAGGACTCCATTCGGTGTCTTGAGTTGTTGGAACCTCGGACGGCCTTTTTCATTACAAAAAGCTCGTAGTAGCATCCTTGCTCCTAGTAGCAAGGCCAGGAGCCCCTAGTAGCGTCCTTGCTCCTAGTAGCGATGCCCTTTGCTCTTAGTAGCGTCCAACAGTTTCTTATGTGAATCATTAAGTCTTCTTTCCATGCATAATGCGGAACGTGGAAGAAGCTCTGACCAGGCTTGCAGGTGGAACCAAGCAAAACTGAATAGGGGTTTGGGTGTGGAGCGCTGCTCTAAGGTCCGGCGACAAAGCTCCTTTGGTGGCCTGGAAACTGATGCTTTGGCTTTGCAGGTGTATGTGTGTATGTGCAGTAGGTGCATGCTGCAGGTGCTTTTCAGAACCTCTGACATTCTCTCACCACTTTAACCTTGCAGACTCTTGCACGCCCTTTCAATGAAGCAATGCCAAGGAATTGCAATGTCATGTTGTGTGCCCTGAAGTGGTTGGGCCTCCTCTGCAAGTCCCGCTTGGCGCGTTTGGTGCTCTTGCTTACTGGTCGCGTAGTGCTGCTTGCGGATGTGGCCACAGCCTATCTGGAGCGTCCGACGTGCTTTACGCAGTGCTTCATGCAGTTTCAAGGTGTTTTGTTTTCTCTCAATAAGCTAGTAGTAACAATAAGCTAGTAGTAACAAGTGCATCGCTTCTAGTAACAAGTGCCTTACTAGTAGTAACAAGAAGCTACTAGTAACAATATATATTACATATATTCTTTTCCTTTTCTCCTTTTCTTTGGACCTGTCGACTCTACACCTTTCTTGCCTTTCACCGTTGGGAAGGTCTACGCCTTTTGTGAGACGCCCCAATTCACGCCAATCGCAGGAGATGCACTTTGCTGATGCCCTAAAGCCACAAGAACTCGAGGACGGGGACGGGTCCGACGGGTTCGACTGGTGCTTCTTCGCTCGCTTGTCCAAACGCGTTCGGAAAAATCAGGAACCAAATAAAACATATTTATATATTGTTACTAGTAGCTTCTTGTTACTACTAGTAAGGCACTTGTTACTAGAAGCGATGCACTTGTTACTACTAGCTTATTGTTTCTAGTATATATATATATAAATAGCCATGCCCTTTGTTCCTAGTAGCGTCCTTGCTCCCCTTCAAGGAAAATCCCCCCGCCCTCAGGCAGGGGGAGCTTCCGACAAAGAAGCCTGGGCTATCCTGCGTCCCGGCTAGGAGCTTCCTATTGCTAGTAGCGAACTACTCCCTTGCATACTTATATATATATAACTAATTAGACGCCTACATAACCAAATAACGGGGCAGGGCCATGGACTAACAAACATGAAAAATAACAAAGGTGTTACTAATAGCGTCCTCTTGTTAACTAGTAGTAAAAATGCTACTAGTAGCGATGCCAGGAGCCCCTAACAGCTTCTTGCTCCTAGTAGTAAGGCCAGGAGCCCCGTTCGTAGCGTCCTTGCCCCGTCTTGTACACTTTCTGAGTCTCGGAGTTGGTCCGGTCTGGTTTAGAGCGTCACGCCCGCAATCGGAACGTTCAGGGTGGACCCGTACTCTTCCTTCCTCAACTCTTGCATGTCCTGGCGCTTCACATGAAGCAGGCAGCTTGCGGAATTTCCGCCAAACATCTAGCGATGTGGACTCAAGACACTTCCTTCTGCTTGAAGACTCCTTTTTAGCACTTCCTTCCACGTCTTATGAAGGGCAGAAAAGGAATGAGTCGAAGAGATAGGAGTACATAACCTCGGCGGACCGGGTGCACACAGGACTCAGAGAACTGAGAAACTCCAATATGGCCAGGTAAGATGAAACATTTTGTTCTTTTGCTCAAAGAGTTGGAAGTATGATGAATGGAAAAGAAGGAAGAGAGCGTCAGGATCCAAAAAGACAATATAGTGTATTATATATAATATGTAGAATCTATGTGTGTGAAGTAGATATTATATATATATATAGACATATATGCACACGCCTGCTTTCGAATGCTTTTGCTTTTCACTTCTTCTGACTGATGGAATGACTAAGACTACTCCTTGCGCAGGCACCGCCTGAGGGAGCACCTCGAGAACTTCAGGTCGCCTTGAAAGCAGTTTAGGGGTGGGGGTGGGGGGTAGGGGACTGAGGAAGCTGAGTAGACCTTGGGACGAAGCGCCTGAGCCTTGAATGAAGGTGTTTCTTTTTTCCAAGCGTTTATTTGTGTTTTTTTTCAGATAGCGAGAGCTATCGTTCATTTTTGCTTGAGGGCTGTTTTTTGAAAACAGATTTGATAAGGCAGGCCAGGATTTTAAACTCTGATCAGGGCACCTTAGCGGCATATTTGCTTCTTGGCCTCGCAGAGAAGCTGGACACTCAGAGCTGCCCAACCTATTTGCATAAGTTAAACGGTCCTCCTCCGAGGCTTCGCGAGCTTTTCCGGCGTGCAGAAATTCGCACCCGGGCTAATTTGGCAGAAGCGGTTTTAGAGTGTAGTAGCTTCTTGTTACTACTAGTAAGGCACTTGTTGCTAGAAGCGATGCACTTGTTACTACTAGCTTATAAAGCTCTATTTTTTTACATCTTCACTTTGGTTTTCTACGTGCAAGTTCCAGTGATCTCAGTTCACTGACGTGCGTTCGCTGAGGTGGCCTAAATTGCTTTGAGGGGGCGTCACCATTGCCACTCCTTCTTCTGCGGGCTATGTGGATGCCTTAAATTTGCTCTGATTCTTTATTATCCTTTTTTTGGAGGGAAGTGCTAGTAGGTTGGAGGCCATCACTGTTAGGTTGGAGGCCATCGCTAGGAGGTTGGAGAGCATCGCTCTTAGGTTGGGAAGTCAGCTGGCATTTGGGCAGTCTATTCTCAATACCCAATGTGTACATCATGTTGACACAACAAAGTGTTACACATTTCTATACTTCACGGAATACTCTGATGTGCTTCAGCTGTTTCAGCTTCTTTTCTTGAAAACTTGAGGTGCTTCCTGGGGACCCTGGTTTGTGCATACCGCGCGCCCAAGGTGGCTACCCAAGACCCCCTATGTTTCATTTTAGTCTCTGAAGGACAAAATGAAGTCACGATCGCTAAAAGCCATTCAGTGGGGCTTTGTTGAATGAAGTCCACGAATTGAGTGGGACTTTCTTAGCTTTGGGGCACTTTGGTGCAGTTGTAGTGACATGACACTCATGACTCGCCAAAGGCTCTGAACAGCTTCCCTGCAGGCGGACGATACGCACAAGCAGGTTCTCGAGATGTTCCACGACACGGAGCTTTTTGGCAGCTTGCCCTAGTTGAATCAGTCCTCAACGAGGAGTAACTACACCATTTAGCTCGAAGCGAGATGAAGGGAGGGATTGGCAGGGGGTAGGAGCAAGGACGCCACTAGGGGCTCCTGGCCTTACTACTAGTAACAAGAAGCTACTAGGGGCTCCTGGCATCGCTACTAGTAGCATTCTTACTAGTAACAAGGTGTCGGTGACGTAGGTCCGAGTGGTGTCCATCATAGCCATCAGGTGTTGTGGGCATCTTGGTGTCCATCCTTTTGTCAGAGGGCCGCCGTGAAAAGGGTGCCAAGCTGCCGCAGACGGTGATCTCTCTTTGCGTTCAGGTTGGGAGGGTTCGCTGATTTTTGCTTCGGCCAAGTGAAGTAGTTAGCTTGCAAACTTAAGTTTCCCTCAAAATCCTGCGTTCAGTTACTAGAAGCTAACTAGATGCTATATAACTAGTAGCTAGGAGCTTACTCCCTGACTTAATTAAGTATGTGCCTACTTGATTAAGTAGGAGTGGGCTTAAACAAGTATTTCAAGCATTTTGGCATGCTGGCATTTTTGGTCGAAGTGGACGTCCTCATCGTGTGAAGTTTCAGAGTAGCAGGCGGTGAGAATTTGCAATAGCATTGCTCGCATCGACTCTGCCTCAGTGTGAACAAGCGCTAAACAATATAACTTCAAATGAACAAGCAACTGCAAAACAACTTCAAATGAACAAGTTCTAGAGGCACCTTGATGCAGCTCAGGACCTCGTAACAGTGCAGAAGACACTGGGTGCCAGCAGGCAGCAGGAGAGCTTGATTTCATGCCATGCATGGCCCATTTAGTAACAGGTGCCACGCTAGTAGTAACAAGGACGCTACTAGGAACAAGTGCATCGCTAGTAGTAACAAGTGCCTTACTAGTAGTAACAAGAAGCTAGTAGTAACAGGTGCCACGCTAGTAGTAACAAAGTTCGCCATTAGAATTATTGAATTATTGTTCGCAATTCCAACTGACCCGCCGTGGGTAAGAAGGCAGAAATGCAATAAACCTCAGCCTTCTCCCAATTTATTCAATCTGTCTGTTTGGTCGTGCGCTGTTGACGATAACCTCGGAATTGTGAGGAGTTCTACCACCTACTGGTCTCTTTGTTGGACTACTGCGTGGCACGTTTGCCGGCTAGCATGGCCAAACCAACAGGCTGTCAGACATGAAAACATGCAACACAAGTACTGTGGCCGAGTATCTAATCCATTCAATATGACGAGCAGAGCAGGTCAAGCAGAGGAAAGCGATTTGCTGCATGACGCTGGGCTAATAGGACAGCGTAACACAAGTGGCTTGCAGGAGTGATTTAGAGTGCTGCTGTACTAGCTGTTTGAATTGCCAACTCAGGAAGCGGTCGTTTTGCTTGGCTGCGACCTTATGCTCACATGAGGGTTGTCTAGCGCGAGCCAGGTCTTTGTTTTGTCAGGAGCCGTCTTCAACTGAGGCTTTTACTGCCTTCAAGAACCGGAGAACCAAAGCATCCTGTGCTATGGCGAGGGTCAGGCGTTGCTTACACGCCTAGCCGCCCTGTCGGAAGCCTAGCCGCCGCTTCGCTTCTTTTTGGCTTCGACCATTGGCCTAGGATGACTAGGATGCCTGTGTTCTCGCATTTGTTTGGCGCTTCAAGGCCTTTGCACTACTTCATGGATGAGCGCGGCAAGGCCATTCTGTTTCCCACCATCTTGGCATCTTGTGACTTGGCCGCAATCCGAAGCATGACAGTTTAAGCTGCTTTTTTCTGGACTTTGTTTTCCTTTCATTTTGCCTACTTCAAGGAGTCCTTTACCATCTTTGATTCCACTTGGTACCTTTTGTCTTGTACTGGTTCTTTGCAGCCTTTATTTTTCCTTTGAGGCTTTAAGTCGGAACAGAACTTGGCAGTCCTCAGGCCACGTCACCAATAAGTTGCAACGGAATGTCTCAGAAATCCAAGGTTTTCAATACTTATTACACGCCTTTGAAGGTCAGAGATGAACCTGTCGTTGGTATGCACCTTCCTGGCTGCGCAGATGGCCCAGGGAGAAGAGGCACGGATGGAAAGAAACTGTAGCAAAGCCACACTTGATACTAGTGATGCTGTTGCAGCACAAAAAAAAGCTATGTGCAGCTGTTGACATGGTCAACATGGAATCTAACTGATGCCGACTCCACAAATGTTGCATCCTGCTGTTGTCAAACTTGTTATGAGAATGAACAACTAGGAACAAAGGGCATCGCTACTAGGGGCTCCTGGCCTTACTACTAGGAGCAAGGACGCTACTAGGAACAAGTGCATCGCTTCTAGTAACAAGTGCCTTACTAGTAGTAACAAGGACGCTACTAGGAACAAGTGCATCGCTTCTAGTAACAAGTGCCTTACTAGTAGTAACAAGGACGCTACTAGGAACAAAGGGCATCGCAACTTGTTGCACTTCAGAAGGCCGAACATGCAGGTGCCGCCGGCCACGCCAGAGGGGTTGCCGGCCTTCACATGCCGCTTCCCACCAGAACTTTGGAAGGCGACTGGATGTGTTGCTTCGTAGCAAAGGGTGAGGCAGCAGGTCTTCAGTTCCAATGTGAAGTCATAAGGACATTGTGACTTGTGGAGGATTTCTAGTCTTTAGTGAATGCATTTTCCATTCCCAAGCTTAGAGATTGACGAGCACTTCTCAAGTGTGAGACTTTTGCTTAGAACAACTTTTGGGACATGTTCTTCTTATTGATATAATCTGGAGAAACGTTCATAATATCAGTGCCAACATCTTATCTTAGGGCATGTGAACCAAGAGCAACGTCGTACATATAGCGGAAATCTAGAGCAGCACGGAGCAAGCAACTTCCACTATTCCTTCCCATAGCAACACAGTCAGTTGCAGAAGGAGATGGGGTGCTGAAGATGAACTTCTGCATGAAAATAGCAATTCCATCAATTGTAGATTGCTTGTTCCTAGTCACACAGTTTTGTATCAACGTATTGGACTCATGAACCTGTTCAGCTTCAAAACATGCAAAGGTTCCAAGTGCAAAAAGCACGTCGTTGAGTTAAACACATTTGGGCTTCAACAGGGCTTTAAGCATTCGCAGCTTGGTATTTTGGGAGAAAGGGACAGTTAAGTAAGAGTCCACACCGATAACGCTCTCCAAGTGAACAGTAGCTGATGTGTCATGTGTCACACAGCACCTTCACCTTCGAAACTCTTATTTGTGTAATGTACAATAATGTCTTGTTTCAAGATAATTTTCCAGCGACAGGAAGCACTGGCCTTCTTTGATGGAACTTCAGAGGTGGGCTCGTGAATCTTATGCAGACAGTTCAACATTGTTCCGCAGACATCAAACACGAATTCAATGTCGAAAATGCACCAAAAGAAGTCACGAGCAGTCAACAAGTCATGGAAAGATGCCCACCGTTGGAGGCTGAGGCCGAGGCTGACTCGGCCAAAGCAACCGAGGCGTGCGAAAGATGACTTGGTGCTTGGTGTCCTTCTGGCCGTGTAGCTTTTGCTTTCCTTTCTTCTTCAGACCGACCTTTAGACTTGTGCTTAGCAAGGCACTTGTTCCTAGTAGCTTCTTGTTACTACTAGTAAGGCACTTGTT